TCTCTCTATGTCTTTCTCCCTTTGTCTATCTTTTTCTCTCTTTCTGTCTATCTCTCTCTGTCTGTTTATGTCTCTCTGGTGTCTGTCTGTCTATCTCTCTCTCTGTTCCTCTTTGTGTCTGTTTCCTTTTCACTGTGTCTCTGTTTCTCTCTCTCTTTCTCCCTTATTAACTTACTCCCGTTCTCTCTCTCTTTATTCCTTATTAACTTACTCCCGTTCTCTCTCTCTATTATCTCTTCTTTTCTTTCTCTCTCTTTCTCCCTTTTTCTCTATTTTTCTCTCTTTCTCCTTCTCTTTCTTCCTTTCTTCCGTTTTTGTGTAAATTTTTTCTCTCTATTTAATCAACAATCTCTTCATATCAGTAACTACAATTTGTTCTATAGAAGTTAGGTAGTTCGGCATTATTGATAGAAGTTAGGAAGCCTAGATGTGGCGTCGCTTAGTTTTATTAATTTATGATCAATTATTTGGGGCCATTTATATCTGTGAGTGATTTTGGGGTTAAAAAAAATTTATTTTGACTATTTGAAATTCTTCATATGCAACTGTTTTGCCTTGATTTTGTGTATCTTTTGCGGAAAAATAGATTGCTTAATGAAAGAAAAGCCTTTGGTGCACATAGAAGTCATCTTAAAGTCTGTATTTCGTTTAAAGAGTTTTAAAGTTATTTCTCACAATTTATTATTAAATTTATACCTAATTAAAGATTTGTTCAAATAATTATTATTTGGTAATAAAAGAAAAGTGTCAGCAGAAATTTTTAATTGCATTTATCAGTTGGCAGTGCTGCCAAATTAGAAATTATTTTTATCGTACAACAAAACCGTAAAAGTTGAAAAAACATTGCGAACAAATTTATGCCAAACAAAATAAAAGAGCACCTACCCACAGTGCAGTCCTCCCACAAACTCACCAACTAAATTGGCTGGAAGCTGCAGACAGTGTAAAATATCAGCCAATGCCAAAAAAAATATTTCATGTACCAAAAAGTTGTGACCAGCAACGAAACAAAAAAAAGAAAAAATAATAATAATAATAGAAAGGACATAACAACTGCAAAAAACGCTATGGAAAGGACATAGTCCAAACGTTAATATAAAAATGTTTACCACCAAAATCCATTAAAAGGAGCATTAACAATTACTGTTTATAACCGAATCAAAATAAATTAGCAATTATTGAGTGTCAGTAGATTTTCACATCCCCATCCACATCCATATCCACATCCACATCCATATCCAGTATTTTTTGCCTTCGTGCTGTTAACTTTTACTGCGATGAAGGCGTTAAAAATCAATTGGCAATTATGCAGATAAAAATCAGTAAATAATTTAAAAATATTGTTAAAATAAGAAAAAAAAAATAAAATCAAAAAAAAAAAGAAAAAATTAAATAAAAATTAAATAAAAATTGTGGAAAAAATACAAAAAAAAAATGTGAAACATCAAATTACGAAACAATATTTCATGAGTTTTATGAACATTCGCGGTTAAAACAAGTGTAAAATAATTTTGAATAATAGCAAATATTTATTGAAAATAATTTTTTTATGGGGCCAGCAAAATTTATTAAGTATTTGCGGAAATGAAATCGGGCGTGCCATATGTTGCCAGCCACGGAATATGGGTATATGGTATAGGATTAAAACGCGTCATTTATTTTAAAATATAAACTGTTAAACTGGCTATGCCTTTTTAATAGCTTTGTAAAAATATATTTCGCAATTTTTAGCCAGTGCGCATTATTAGCTATCGAGTTTATTGACAAAATTTAGCAAAATTTATAATTTATATTTTTTCCACGCTTAAATTCCATTCCATTTTAAAATACCTATAAAGCTCAGCAACTGGACAAAGTTTAGAAATGTGCTAAAATTTTATATTTCAATAAAAAACTGATAAATATATTTATATATAAAATATTTATGAACTCTTTAAATAGGTAATAAATTTCATTTTTTAAACGAAATCAAATATAAAATAATCAATTTTTAATATTTAAGCATATCAAAAATAAATTCATAAAATCTTTTCTTCATTTGTCCAAGAAAATAGCTTAGATTAGGTTAGGTTGGCGCAGCGGCCTTGTGTTCCAAGAAAGCCCGCTTGAGCTCAAATAATAGACTAGCGATGGTTCGTACATAGACAAGGTGGTCAGTATACGACCAACACTCCTCCATTAGTTGAATGTTCAATAAAATAGCTTAGGTTAGGTTAGGTTAGAGTAGCGGCCTTTCGTCAAATAATACCTCGTGGTGGTATCACAGGAATAGCGATGGTTAAGACATAGATTAAGTGGTCTGTATACGATTAATGCCGAAAGAAGGTAACGATTCTTCTATTAAGTGAACGTAAACCAATCTGACAGTTCTATGAATCTGGCTGAATGAATATTATGATGAATGTTATTAGGGAAATATTGCAGGATGATAGCTCAGTCAGATCGGTAAAGAAAGGGGCCTCCAAGGCTTTTAAGGTTCTCCTAGCTAAAGATGAGCACATGAGATGAAACATAAAATCCTCCTAGTCCTCAGAACGTAGTGCTGAACAGATTAGCTTAGCATTTACTACATTTGTGTAGTAAACACAAATTACACCTCAAAAGAGACAATTTGCCCATGTCATTCTATTACTCATATCTTTTATATACGAATTCATAGTATTTTGCACTAACATGGCGAACGCTTAGTTCCAAGCTTATAATGGAATAAACGGTTTTGTCAATAAAATCATTTTCTCCATTTTGCGGTTTAAGTCATCCAGGAATGCATTTAATTTTATGCAGTTCTCCTACTGCTTTTACTTAATAATGCATTTAAATATATTATTATATTATTATTTAAATATATTACAAAATGTATATTATCTTTTATAATAAAACACTAAGAGAAATCAGCTGGATCACTTTTTAATTGTCATAAAAACAACATTTCGGTGAACTATCCTGAGATATAGTTGGCTAGTTGGCAACGCGCCATGAATTGCGATATATAACTGCGATATTTCATTTGATTTCTCACAGTACGTTATTGAAATGAAAACGTGAAAACTCGAATGTAATGACAAATAATCGGAGCATATTCCAACACTATCAACGCAAAAGATTCGGTTTGTTAGTCTTTACGGATTGCGGTATAACCTCAAGCCTGTGAAAATATTTAAGAAGTGCAAATTACCATATGAAAAGCATGCCGGATTGTTTGTAACCGTCTGGAAGTGGTTTCGTAAATTCCAGACTAAACATTTTTTTGTGGAGAACTAATCTTATGAAGATAGTTATAAATCTTCGACGGATGGTGTACGAGTCTAAAATTGATAAATATTTAAAATTATCCTGGAATATTATCACTGGATGAATTGCAAAAAATAAGTGAATTTGAATGCTATGGCTGTATTGAGAATATTAGGTAAACATCTTGGATTTACGAAGAAATCAATACGATACGGTTCTGAGTTTTTGAATTGGAAATTGAAAAGCGAAACATGTGTGTTTTCTTTAATATTTTCCTAAAAAATTTGAAAATGGGTATGCATGCACCTACAATAATATTCGTAAAACAAAGAAAAGTCGATGTTATAGAGATTAGTAAGTGTTAATCCACCTGTTAAGATCAAATGGGCCTAAACTGTTTGCTTATTCTTTCCATTCAATGCTAGCCGTATATTCTTTTTACTTAGAAATGTGTTTCTGATACTAAATCCTGTTAAATAATTTTGTAGTATCTCTCTATTTCCAGAATGTCATTCGTAAGTAAAAGGGTGCTATTATTTATCATATGCTGTATGTCTAAACTTCAAAAACGATATTAAGTTAGAAATTGTTGGATGCGTCCATATTTTGCCCTTTTGTTTGAGAAGTATATTAGCCTAGTGTTAAGTTAAAGTGGTTGAGACTACAACAACATACTATGTGAGTACTGTGCACAGTGCTAAGGCAGTAGGCAAAAGTTCATAGGATATCAATAGGAGAGTGTGTGTTCAAATATGAGTTTATTGAATTTCTTGCAGAAGGAGGTGGGGATGGATATGGTGGCCCCCAAATTTAGTTGTTTCAAAACAGAGTACAAAATTAATTAATATATTTGAGTAAAATAAAAGTATACCTTGTCATTGCTTTACTGTACCAAGTGATTAATAATAAATTGCAGCACCTTGAAAATCAATAACTATCATTAAATTTAAAAGCAGTTAAATAGATCAGAAAAACTGACATTATAATAAGCTACTGGTACTGTACTCATTTAAATTCAGCAGTGACTTTGTCATATTTCTACAATTAAGTTGTAGAAATATGAGCTGCATTGACTTGAAGTCTTGGACATTGTAATAGGCTTTAAGTAATAATTGATACTTAAGCTGCATCGACTCGCCCAACAAAAATGATTGATTTAAAAACTTGAAATTTAGAAGTACTTTTAAGAAGCAATATTAGGGAATTATAAAAATTTTATTGTTAAAATAAATGTAAGCTTGACGATAAGGCAATATTCTTTAGTATACTTCAAAACTTCAAAAAAAGAAAAAAGATATAACTGAGCTGAAAAGCCTATAAATATGCAAAGAAATTTTGAAACTTGAATTTCTAATCAATTTATTCCACTGACTAAATATGAATAAAATATTATTAATAAAAATCAATTTAAGTTAAATCTATTCAATATCTAATACGAATATGCAATATGTGCATGCTTCAAGATTTTCATAAATTTTAAAAGTTCAATAATTTGTTTAAAAAATATTTCGTTTTATGTATAAATTGATTAAATTCATAAAAGAAGATGAAAACTATGATTTATGATAAGAAAGTATTATTTAGGAAAGTATTTGAAAAATGATATTTAAATTCATGAAGTGTAGAAATTATTAAAAAAACTTTGACTTTTCCAAGCCATATAGTTTCGACTTACATATTTGATTTGATTATACATAAATCTGCAGATACAAATACTTTATGGGAATTTATTTAGAAGTAATAATAAATATATTTATGCAAAGACTTACCTCTCCAAAATTATCCTAAGGCAAATTAGAATACTGGCAGTTCCTTATAAGGTGTTCGACTGACTTGTTGTTTCAGTTCTAAAATGGAAACAAAATGATTTTTATTATGCTGAATTTAGTTAATGATAAATTATTGATAACTTAAATTAAAAATTATTTAAATACCTAAACTTATTGTGATAACTGGGCACAAGTATGGGTTTATTACCGATTTACGGCAGTCAGTTAATACCTACGAAATATTCTTAATGTCTTACATTATGGAAATTGTATACTTTGTATGCTTAAGGAAACTTTAAAATTTGTTGTAATAAAGTATTTTTCTTAAAAACTATTTTTATTATAGCTAAATAATATTATTTATTTCACCTAGTTTAATTTGCAAATTTGATCAAGAACAGTAGCGTCGATGCAATGTACTTTATTTATTGTACTTTTAAACCAGAAATAAGTAAATAAAGGCAACTTAAAACTCACGTTTGTTCGTCAGAAAAATAGCTAGTCTAGCTAGTCTAGTCTAATTCAATGCCTTTATGTCACTTACACTTTAAGTGGATGTACCTATCAGGTAACGACTTCAAATAACACATCAAGTAGCTAATATCACCATCTAAGCATTCACTTGGGTAGGATACCACCTGTCATAAGCATAAAACTATACAATATAATTTTATGCAGTTAACTTGGACTGGCTCTTCAAGAATCAATCCCCTTTAAGCTTGTAGTATTATAATCCCTTGTACAAGATCACAATTAAGTCTATTTTAGTATATGAATCTCAATTTTTGGTAACGCCAGTATTGCAAAAAAACTTAGTGGAAAACTTTGATAGTTATCATAGGCGCTATCACAGAAATTATCATACAGAGACATATCAGATATAAAAATATTCAATCAGATCTGCATATACCGATAGTAGAAAATAAATTGAAAAAAGATGAAAAGAAAACTCATTGAAAAACTATATGCGTATATGGGGTTTCACCACAAAGACATTGTCGTCCAAGAAGATACTACCGACCTGATATAAATCGGTAGTTAATGTAGCGTATAGACTCGTATTTCTAAGTTCTTAATTAGCCCTAAACTGTCAAAGTGAGGACTGCGGTACAATAATTATATATTAAATTTGACTGATAGTTACTTAGAGGTATATACTCGCAAAATGTTATGACTTATAGTTAGTCTTTAATTATAAAATAATATTTAACTAATTTATTTAACTAAAATTGTTATAAAAGCAAAATTTTAGCACGTAATTTAAATTGTTTGTCTTACAAAGAAAAAAATGTGACGATGTATAGTTATTTAATAACTAATAATGGATAACAACTTATAGTTTTTCACAAGTATTTTAAAGCTTCATATCTGGTACAATATAATCTATGTTTATCACATCTAGATATGCTAGGTTGCGTCACCTAAATATTCAATTATGGCTTTACTCAGTCTAACTTTTCGTTACATGGACTTAACTTTTGAGTAAAAAACTTCGTTATGATCCAATTGCTTTTATTGGAATGTTTGCTGATGAATTATTGTTTTATTTGTAAGAATTATCTGTGGTAATCTTTGTTTCCATATTATTTATATCCATAAACTCTATACTTCATTCATCCGCATCCATGGCAATTTTTCTATTGGTGGTGGTCACTTAAAAGACAGTCGTGGAAATTTCGTCTGCACTCAAATTTGCTTTAGTAAAGTTGTCTAGTTTGGTGTAGTTTGTTTTCGGTTTATTGTATGTGACGAACTATATAGATAGAACTATATAGGTAGACGTAGTTGATTTCCTAATAATTTATAAATTCTACAAATATTCATTTATGTTTCACACCTTTTGTAAGTTCTTGGTGTTTTCAATATTTTATGCACAGAAAGTTCCTCTGAAAATTACTTAAAACTTATTACTCTTCCACCTCCGCACGTTGCAATAGATCAATCGCTGCTACTCCTTTAGGGCGAGTAGCAATTTCAAGGAATAGGACGCCTTAGGTTCGTTCTAACAATAAGAGTGCCTTAAGCCCCAACGGTTATATGTGTTAAGTAAAAAGATAATGAGTTTTTCCATTTATTTGTTTTAACCAAAAAATCCTTTTAAACGGTATTTTTATGTTTTTCGGTGATTAGAACGGAAATTTCGTATCAAGCATTAATCCTCTATTAACATTAATAATACAACAGTTTGAAATTATAAAAAGAGATGCGTTATAGCTGTCGTACAATCTTTAAAATAGTCTGCAATACTTTCCTGAACCGAGTTTCTTCAGTTTTTTTTATTTGTTAAGTACTTTTTGCGTGTCTTGCCTAAATTCATTATATTTTCTTTTAATAGCCGATATTGCTCTCCATATGTGAATGGTATAGTTAGTTTTACTGAAAGTTGTGTTTTTTTTTATATATGTGTACACATATCTTTAGATCAAGATATTTTCAGATACCTTTCTTTTACAAATGTTTATCCTTACTCCTGTGCATATCATTTTAGATTTTATAACATATTACTTTCCTTGAAAATGTTTGACTTTTTAGTTTGCATTAAAGAAAATATTGTTGGTTATGTTATTATGTGTGTGGAATAAGTAAGTTGAATAAATAATTAAGTATTTAGTATGGAAATTTAATTTTGAAAAAAGAAATCAAACTATTTAAGTTAAAAATTGCTGTTTCAAAAAAATACATATTTTAATATGAAAAAAAAAACATGCAAAAAATGTAAACTAAAAACTTGATTTACTAAATAAATTATGCACTAATATATACAAATAAACAAAAGCATTCAGAATGTATCAGTTTTCGTATATTAAAAAAAAAAATTCTAATGTTACTCTTTAACTCTTTAACAAATTCATTTAAAAATAAATATTGCCAAATGTAATATTAAATATTAGATTATATTATATTAATTATATTAAATATTAATATATTAAACATATATATATATATATATATATATAAATGTATTTTAATATATAATATATATATTAATAATATTACAATTTAATATTATAATATAGATACATATTAAATACTGTAATATATTAAATTAAATAAATTATATTAATTATATTAAATATTAAATAAAAATAAATTTAAAAAACTTGAAAATACATTTCCTCTTTCAATAAACATTTATTTACTATTTTATATATTATAAATCAAAAAAAATTAAAAAATAAAATGGACAAGATTGAATATTTAATTTCATTGCATATTTTTAGGAAGTCGAAAACAACTTCTGTATCTGACTTTTAAGGTGCTAAAGATACGGTTATGTGGTGTAAAATAAGACACATATATGGACGTGTACGCTACACTTAGAAGTTGTGAAATTTAACCATGTGATAGAAATCAAGTAGGTTTTTCCTGATAGCTGAGAAGGGCGCTGCGTATAAGGCCTTACTAGTTAAATTCTGAAGTACCTAATTTTATTTATAATAATTGCGTGTCTGGCAAGCTTCAAAAAGATTGCCGCTCTGAACTTGGTCACTTTTGACTTTTTTTTACAAATGTTTGGATACAACAATCCTGTGTTCTTATTTTCATTTAGTATTTTTGCAAGACAAAAAGAGTGCACGATATTTAAGGATTTTTGGACTTCTATTCATAATTTTTTGTCTTAGTGATTTTTTTACTTTTGAAATATTAAGGATTACTTAATAATAAGTCTTTACAAGAAGAAGCTTAATGCAATATAATTTGTATATGACCAAATATACGTACAACAGATCAAATTTTTTTGTATTGCGTCGGTAGTACTTATTACTATATGATCTTAATTATAATCAATTTTTTAACGTAGCGAAAATATATTATTAAATAAAGAACATAAATAAACGGAAAAAAATAGAAAATAAAAGTAGTAAATGATTTTATAATAGGTTATAATAATTTATATATATAAATAACATAAGAAAGATAAAAAATCTCAAAAACCTCGAATAGATAGTAGATCTGCTTTTACGATGTTTGAAAATACAAACTTATCGCTAATGTGGGTTCAAACAAGAGGAAAAAAAATAACTGAGCACTTTATTTGCAAATTCCCGGAATTGGTAAAACTAACAAACTTAAAAAATAATCTTCTCCATTTAACTTGTTTTTTTGTTAAATAATTTTAAATATGATGATATTTTTGATTCAAAAGGAATTTTGTTAAAGAGCTACGCACATTCTTAAGTATTGTAGACAATTTAAACAAAAAAAATAAAAATTTCTTACTTACATGTTCTCCAATTTACGCCCACATGTTGCTGTCAAGTTTTACGCTGACATTTATTTTTCTGGAGTTGTTTTTTGGTTGGTAGACAATTTTTTACGCGTCAAGTGTCGCTTAACATTAAGGACATACCAAATTTATAGCTTTTGGGTCCATTACGCGTAGATGTAAACTCATGTCCGAACAATTTATGTTGCTATTGTTAACTGTTTTGTGTTGGGAAAAAGTTTTGAATATTGTTTTTATATTATTTACCAGTTGACAAAAATAAAAATACAATGGAAAAAAAACAACTCAAAGTTGGTCGCTTACAACACATTTTAACACGTTTTCATTATATCAAAACGTCTCTTGAGGTTATGCGCCTAAACATACACAACATCAGTTTATTCTTTGTTAGTTGTTTTTTGGCTTGAACATTATTGTTTTTTCTTTTGTTTTTGTTATTCTCTTGTTGCAGTTTAGTTTCTTATTTGTGTTACTCGTTGTTGCTTGCCATGTGCGAGTTCTATGCAAAAAACTGTTAACTGTCATTGTTGCTTGTCGCTGTCGTCAACAAGCCACACAAATTAAGTGAATACCAACAAATAACAATAAGAATATTGTACCGACAACTTTCACAGTATCGAAGCATTACTGCCAAAGGCACAAAATATTTCACGCAGGCATACGCCAAAACATAAACGCACTCACTTACACAAGGACCAACACAACGACACTTAAATAAGTCACTGAGTCACTTAAGTCGCTAATATTTGAAAGCAAATATGTTTACTATTTCACAACAACGCGCCAAAAAACATGCAACTTTATATTTTCGTATTTAAATTCAACTACTGTTTTTAGCTTGACATTCTCCGTAGCTGATTTGTCCGCTTATGTTTCGTTCATAGCTCTTTGTCGAACGGTTTAACACTGACGGTCATTGTCAATGTTATTTTTGGTGTAAGCAGATACGGCACATAATGCCGCAAAGCTTTTAAACTGCTTATATGAGTGGTGACTACTAATATGTTGAGTGTGGTGAATATATTTATAAAATGTTGATACCAATGCTATGTGCAAACGGACCTGACTTAAACGATAACATAGAAAGCTAGCAGTAAAATTATATGTAAACCTAAAGTACAGTAATAATCATTTGTTTCTAATTTTCAATAGGTGTTGAATGTGTCAATTTGCATAGTGTGGTGTGTATGATTTCACAGTTATGTTAACTCCTATTTTTATATTTTACAAATGAATCGAAAGTGGGGTTGTATTATGTTGAATATGTTATGCGAATGTCGCGTTGAAACATGCTTCTCACAAGTGTTAAATATAATTTTAGATGTTAATAATAATGTTGTAGTCGAGTTTGGTGAGTTAATAAAAATTTAATTTGCATAAAATTGATATAATATAAGAAAAAAAATGCGAATGAAAATAAATATTTTTTTAATATTTTCCATTTAATGGAAAAACTGTTTTCTTTAATACTACAAAAGTAACTAAAACCGGTTTACTTCATCACTAAAGTCTACTATATATGTCTTCTTTTTGGCCAATATCGTCAATGGAGTTGTTTACGGATTTATATGACATTTAAAACCATGATTATATTAATAACAAAAAATCATAATTAATAATTAGATAATACCAAATGTTTAATTATAAAATTTTATCAAATAACATTACTAACAAAAATTCGAATACTGAAATGTTTCTATATTTTTAGGAAACTATAGAGTCTCCTGTTCAACTTGAGTCAGACTTTAATTATTTTTATACCTTCCTATTCTACGTACTTTCCTCTATCCATTTTACAACATGTGTCATTGTACTAAATTTAAACTTTCTCTTTTTATTCTTTCCCATTCTACATACTTTCCTTCATCCGTTTTACAATCCGTTCTACTGCAGTAAATTTAAACAGTCTCCTAATTAATGCTCTATATGTTTTTAAATCACTAGGTCTAGCAGAAGATGATGTAATATTTTTATTACCATATTTTTATTTAGAACCGAAATATTAAAAGTACAAAATTTTGTTAAATAATAAAAATAGAAATAGATCATTTAATTTTTTATTTAATTTTTACAAGTTTTAAAATAAAACATTGTTAACATAGTTGGTGTTTACCAGAACTGACTATCTTATAGTCACACTATCAAGCTGTTAAATTTCTATTTTATAATAATATAATATGAATGCACTATACGATATAACATTACAGTCATATTAACCAATTTCTGTTAGGTAAAATGTTATTGGTTTAAACATGTGAACAGTTTCAAGCGAATATAATTAAAAAAGGTGGTTTCAGTAGAGTTATTTTATCAATATATAAACTTAACAGATAAAACTCAACAGTTTATCTGTTAGAAGTTTTTAACAGTGGTCATAAAATTTCATGAAATATTTTGCTTTATATAGTCAAAAGCATAGAAATAATACTATGTTTTCGATTACAGTTGAGATATTCGAATTTAATGCAATGTAAGTTTTAACTGCTGTAAGTTTTTCGCTTTAAATTCCATCTTCAAATGTTATAGGTATATTATCTACAGCACATTGTGTACAGCGTAGATAAATGTAATATAAATTCCTTGTAGTATTAACAGATAAATCCTGCTGTTGTTTTCGAAAATTGCCATAAAAACACTCAATAATATGGTCCCTGCTATTAACATTACTCTATTTAATATTTCGAACCCAGTATATAACGAAACATTATCTTTACAGTAATTCTGTAAACTAACAACTATCATCAACTTAAGATCGAATTAACATTGTCTCAAAAATGCTGTAGGGAGTTAACACCTGTAGTATAACTGTGAGGACAGTGTGTTGAAAACATTTCTCTCAACATAATGTTAAGGCTGATATACTATATTTCGCTTGCTCCTCTTAACCGCTACATGTTGTGCATTGTCAGTAGTACTTTGATTCGTGCATAGTTCGCTTGGTTGAATAGTTCGCTTCGTTTGCTGTTAACATTCGTTGCATGTTGAATATTTCTGTTCGTTCGGTTTATACACTCGTCTTATGTTAAGTATACGTCGTGTGGGCCCATGCAGGTTATCGTTATTACTTATCACATTCAGAGAATAGTAACGCTGCGGCACTTGCTGGCTTCAGTTGCGATTTTATAAGTGCGCATACCATTTTCTCTTGAATAAGAAATCATAAATTTTGCGTAATTTAAGAAGGCAAATGCGATATTTGCAATAACGAAATTTCTTATGAATTTAAAATTAAAATTTTAGTTTTTTTGTCGTCCCTTTTTAAGTAAGCATTTTATTAATTTTTTAATTTATTAATAAAATATAAGGGGCAGCACTGCTGAAAGGGAATATTAATTGCTTTTCTTTGTTTTGTATAAAATTCAAATAATTTTGTCTTAATGCGGTTCCTAAGCCTTACGGGTTCTTATCATGTGTTTGGAACAATAGTAAAAAAATAATAATATTCATTCTCTAACCACTTCCACTTCACTGAAATCAAAGCTTGGTATATTTACTAAGTGAACTAAGCACTTATATACATTTAATTAAAATCAATTAATTGAAGTTCTACTGGAAAACGTTTTCTTTTAAATAATTTAAATATCTTGGAGATAAAATTATTTGGTTTCTATAATTGCGATTGAATATAATATATATCCGATTGTAACATGTGTAATATTTCAATGGAAGTTAGTTAAGGCTAAGTTCTGTCTTTAATTTATAAGCTTCTTAGTCCGGGGTGCTTAATATCAAAAAAAGTGAAAATCTAGAATTCAAATTCTGAATTCAAAATTTTTATTTCTTTCAGATTTTTATTTTCGTTCTTTAGTTTTAAATTTTTTGCACATTTATTACAATTAATGCAATAAATAAAATTTTTATGGAAGTTAAGTTTGGTTGCTAAAAGTGCACTTAGTACTTTCTCATTATATTCTAACTCTAGTCATGGTATGTTAAATACTCATTTCAGATAGATCAAGTTTATACAGTTCTTAAAATTCCTTAAAGTTTATTTATGCTACTTAGAACAGTTTATTAAGCATGGGTGTCCACTGTTTCTAAAGAACTGGGTATGGGCGAAGGCAATAAAAAATTTTTTTTTCTTTTCTTGGTTTCATATATGGTAAATCTTCTTTGTTTTGAGTTCATTTGCTTTTTGGTTTCTATATATTTTTTGTTCAGCGGAATATTGTCCCATATATACAAGGTGATCTCTTATATACTACAGTTTAAAAACTTGCGTTGACGGAATCCATATGGTCATAATTACATCTTCGCTATCTGATGAAGTAATGATGTTTTATAAATTTTGTTCTAATTGTGAAAATTTTCGCTTAAATTACGCAAAAAGAATTGGAGAGTTTCATTGTAAAATAAATTAATATAGTAACAAATTTTAACACTGAAATATATATATATAAATCGAACTGATTTTTATTAATTGGAATTGTCCAAGCGCATTACATACGTCACTTTAGATACTGACTGCAGGGAATTAGTGTATAGGATATATCAAAAATTTTTTGGCAATAAATATTCGCTCGATAATAAGTTAATTATTAAAATTAACAAAAAATGTTAATGAACTTCTAAGATATGTACTGTGATTGGAAGGAACGATTACGAATTTACAAAAAAAAAAACGTATATTTCTTTTTTTTTCCAAGTTTTCGACATATTGCACTCATAATCAGGTTTCCATTGCATATTCCTTGCTCTTTAGATCTTATGAGAAATTCTTTACCTACATTGCATTTCTTTACATTTCACTGTGACGAAACATTCTGAATATTAAGCTAGCATCCAGTACACATGTTGTTATCGATAAGCCATTTGCGATAACATGAATTAAAGGTTCGTTATCGGATGTTATTTTAACAAGGTAAAGAGTACCTTTATTACCCTGAAGCGATATGCGACAATCTTCAGGCTGCCCTACTAAGCATTATCTTATCTCAGAGTAAACACTAATCGCATGGGGCGGTATGCATATCTTAGATCAATCATTGAATAAGGAATAAGTCACGAAGTTTATAAGGAATACTCAAATTAGTCAGTGAGATGGGTGGAACTCTGCAGAAACCTCCCAGCTATCAAAGACTAAAAATGCCAAGATGCACTAACTCGGAGAAGGCTCAACATAACTAACTAAATATTGAAAATGAGCATAAAATATTGAAAACACTTTCCGATTTATTTCCTTAGACTCATTAAATGGGTATGGAAACTTTATTTTACCGCAGACAGCAAATTTAAATTTATGGTATATAAAAATTCATTTATTTGGTACTATATATGATATCTGATATAATTTTGCATGTAATGATAATTAAATTAACTAAGCATCATTTTTAGCTTATAAGAGCTTGTATGATATAGTCATGTTCTAACGTTGAAATAACTACCTAAAGCTAGACTTTTGAAATCGAGTGAGGCCATTAAAGAGAAGTAGCTAAAGAAATTGAAAACTATATCTCAAACAGCTAATGAAATATGTGTGTAAAATTGTATTAAACGCTGACAAATGCACCTACAAGGAAGATGTTAAAAAAATTTTGTTTTTTTGTTGGATGATATTTTTTCGGCTTATTTATGAGTACCTGTTACTTTTAGATGGTATATAAGTCGTTTTATTAGTTTTTACTTTAATATAATGCAACAATTTTTTTTAAAGCTTAATTTCAAAAAGGTGACA